CACACGCACATTTCAAGCAACCACACACTCGCTCGGATTTTCTCCTCTTTTTAACAAGCACAAATATCTTTATACAGCAAGTCTCCGTCACTGATAAAAACGTCCGCTTACAACCGATCTTCGTTCGGATAGAAAAAAAATATATAAAGAATCGCAGTTTGCAGCGTCTTCACAATGACCGCACTTTCGTCGCCTATACACGCAGCGCACACCCGCACAAAAAAAGATCGCTGCCGCGCACTTCGCAGTACAACTATGTATAACGTTTTCTCTTTCCGCATCGTTCCCTTATGTACACATTAGACATACAAAACAAAATGAAGGAAGGAACGTGCTGCGAAAGCTCGGGCCCCGGTGTGCGCACGCACGCGCGTGCACGCGCATGCGCGGGAGAGCTGTCCTGCCCTCGTATTTCCTATGTACAGACGTAAATGGATGACTCGGTAAACTGCCTGTCGCGACGTATAGTTACAGTCTCTATAGGGAATGTGACGAAAGCATGGAGGCAAATGAGGGGCTCGGGAGCTTTGGAATGATCACAAAGGAAGCACACGTATGCAAGAAAATAAGAACAACAAAATGAAGAGAGGGGGGAGGATCAGGAAACAAACTTTTAAGTTGCGCGCTTTTATAACCTCGTTCGTTAATTAAAATAAATCGTAATTATGATGGCCACTGCTCTAGTCATTAGGCTGCATCAATTGCCAAGCTGATCGTATTTTATAATTTTGGAGCGTGTCGACGTTAGCATAATCCGATATTTGGGGAATATGCGGCCATTAATTCATATTGCGATTTTATAAAAAAAATAAAAAAATGGATACTTATTATTACCCTAATAAAACTCCTTAGGTATAAATGGTCAATGCGTTACCGGACCCTCAGATGTTTAACAAGTAAACAATCGAAGATAACAAACACTTCTAAGTTAGCATACATCAACATGTCGCAGTAATTTTACGATTTTGTGTGTTTTCCTCGACTGGAATTTGACTAAATGCTAAACAAACTTTTTCTTTCTTCTATGCAACGAAAGATATTTTCTTAACACCAATTTCTATGGCAAATAAAAATTGCTCCGAAAAATAAAAAAAAAACGAACAAAAACACTTGGGGAGTGCATGAAAATAAGAAGGACCGCCATCTTAACATGGATTGCAATAAGGAGTGTGCACGTTTTTGCGTCGAGAAGTGTGAGGAACGTTGGTGATCCTCGAAACCGGACCCCGGGTTCGGTTATCCGAGTCATGGCCGGATCCAGAGGGGTGGGAGGCATTGAATGAGTGAACAATCTATATTGCACGCCGTTTATTAATGCTGTCTTCCTCGCTCACTTCGTTTCTCAATGTGTGTTCCCTGAATTCGCAACAAGCGCGAAAAAGAGTTACAGTGTACACCTGCAAAAAATAGTATTACGAATTAAAAAAAGGGACACTCGCTTCTCACGGCGCCCGTTTTCCTTCGGTTCGTATTTCTTCCGCTCAAGCCGCGAACTTCTGTACAATTTTACAATCCCGTAGGAGAGAAAAGCGTGGCGGGGCCAACTCTGTATCTACAGGCGCGGCTACTATACCTCGTAATCCGCGAAAGCCACAGGATAATAACGCCACTATCCAATACTGGAGTTATCATCACTAATCCATTTATTACTTGGCTTTCCAAAATTCGCAGTCAGTGATCGCCCTGCTCGCTGCCCCCCCCCCCCCCCCCCCCCTTTCCTTCAAAAAAGAGAAAGAAAAGCAATTCTAGAAAGGCGTTCTGGGATATCGACTAAGATCTTGCTGCCAGTTCGGATAGTCTGAAAACTTAAGGTGGAGGAAACATTGGTTCGTCAGGTCGACGTGAATTAACCGGTGTGTATAGAAAAATAAATGCTCGAATGCATGTGGCGTAAACATTTTGCTCTCGCACGTTCTCCAGTCCATCGCCCGAACCGGATTTCACATTCGTCAGCAAAATGTCTCGATAATTTTTATGTTTTTCTTCGTTTTTTTTTTTTTACTTTGAAGCCGGGGTTGTACAGTGAGAACCCTCGTAGAATGAGACTGGCTTCCATTTACCGCAGCCTCTATAAAATAACGTCGGCGTCAGGCGCTATGAGCGTGACAAGATTAATGTGTGCACAGAGATTCCGTGGAAGATTTCTGTACACAGCAGCAAGACACTAGGGTGCGGGGAACGACTTTTAGGAAGTTTAGGAAGTGGCAACGATGGTTCTGCTTTTAATTTTATGTCGTGCCTCCAAAATCCGACAAAAGAAACTGAACCCCGACCGAATCTTGAGAGTGTTAACTGACGACAACTAAAAAAATAACCAATGTTTAAGACTGTATGACAAAGCAAACAAAAAATAAATAGAACACTACCGAACAGTCAAAAAACAAATGCTGACACCGCTTTGACGTTTTTTTCGAAGCAAAGTAAAAAAAGTAATCAGAAAGAAAATGTCTACGTCAAACAATATGGTAGTGAGCGAAAAGCTGAATCTTACGCGAAACGTTTTCTGACGGAAATTATACCCTCCCTGGCGGTACAAAAGCAAAACACAAAACGCCATCTCGCATTAGCCTGATCAAATATGCGATATGCAACGCAAACATCAGCTGACTCTACGGTTGCGCCTCGCAGCGACGACGTCTCGAACTTTTGGCGCTTGCATCCAACTCACGAAGAGACAAACATTAAGGAGTTTTCTGACGTTGATGTATTTACGAATGCACAAAGAGAATCCTGAATCTTTTAACTACATTCTATAGGCGCGCTAATAAAATAACCTAAAATTTAACCCAGTATGTTTGTTTTCACCAGACGTTCTTCATTCTTTTTTTTTTCTTTTTAGGTAAAGTTCGAGGAGGTTTAGGTTCGTCTGCAAGTTGTTTTCAGTCATTCATGGATTCTTTTGAACCCAAACCATTTTTACAGGAATGTACCGAGCGACGTCTCAAGTCGAGAACAGAGGTGCCACTTTTCGCAGGTTAAACTCGCAATCGCATCGTCTTAGAACTCGTCATCGAATTAAAAGTCAATAAGAAAACGCACTTTTATCGCGGTGTCAGCATCTACAGAAGTCTCTCTCGGCAGCGCAAACCTACCACCCAAAGTTACCTGGTCTCCCGGTAACCACAAAAAAACAACGTTAAAAACAAAAGAAAAAAAAAAAGAAGAGATTTTCAATTGTGCAGCACGCGATGAACTTTTCGAGGTTAAAAAAAGAAGTGCAAAAAAATAAATAAATCGAGCCACTGCTGTATGCCAAAACCTAAATACCCCAACCGAAGGATCACGTAAAACGGCTTTCAGGAATCTCTCTTAGACTGACCTGCAGCACACAAAGTAAGAAATCAAGAAGAAAGCAGACTCTGCCACACAACCAAGATAAACTCGGACGACCCATGGCGGCGGAGTCTAAAAGTTGAGTAGCCCAACACGCTATAGACCCCCCCCCCCCCCCCCCTCCCCCCTTATCCGAAAGAACCCCTCTTGCAAACAAGACGGCAACAAAAACTCGGGCGATCACTGACCGGAATTTTTTCGTTTCTATGTTTTTGGCCTTCTCACGGCTCGCCCCCTCGGAGAAAAAAAAAAAAAAAGAGAAAACAAGAACAAAAATAAAACTATAATAAAGAAATAAAAGAGAATCCCCCACCGGCCGCCGCTTCCTCGGTGGGGGACTACTCCTCGGCGTTCGGCCCGAAAACGAGTTGCAAGGCGAGGCGGTTGCATGGGCAGAATTGGTTTCTGAGGTATATTATCTGGCGGGGGGGCACGGCACAAGCAAGAGGCTTCCTTCCCGCATCTTTGAAAGACCGAGGGGGCAGGCTGCTTACTATAAACAAAGAGAACACTGCAAGTCTGTACAATCCGTTCTGTACGTATAAACACCCCAAAACTGATCAAAAACCGGGAAAAGCTAGCGAACCATCGAACGCCGACATGGTAGCTCAAACAACAAGAAGGGACCACGAAGTATAAAACGACAAAACAAAAGAATTGCAAAAAAGAAAAAAACAGATCAGGACTGATTTCGGCGAAACAGCAAGGGGAGGGGGTGGAGCGGCGACAAAAAAAGACACTCGTAGACGGAGCAACGGAGCAACGAGAGAGTTCTTTGCCTACCTGGACTAGTTGGGCCTGGCTGTGTCGGTCTGTGTGCGTGTGAGCGCGCCATGGATGGTGGGTTCGGCGAGCGCGCTTGTTGGGATGGTGTCAGGTGTGTCTGTGTGTGCGTGTTGTCGGCCGTCACTTATTTAACAGCGAACCAGCTTTCACGTCTTGGCACCTTTTTGTGTTAGCGTCTTTTCGTGTATGTGTGTGTGTTTTCCTTCGGCTGCAGGCAATGTGTACGCGCGCGGCAGAGAGGTTCACTGCGTCACGACACACACAAACACACCACGGGAGGCTTTCCGAAAGGTTCCACCGACCACCGCTGCAGCATCGTGTCGTCCGGCAGCCGTGGTCGTCGTTCTATGTACAGGATCACCCGCGCGCGCGCGTGTGTGAGGCCGACCGCGTCGCCAGAAGATGTGGACGAGGATTGCACTTGAAGGGTCAACCGGGACGGGCCGCGGCGCGCACCCGAAGACACACGCGCACTGCGGCGGACCTCGGACGAGCCTCGGCGAGGGCACCGGTGAACCTCGGGGGACCGGACGATCCTGTAGGAGGAGCCGCGTGAGGCCTTCGGGCCTCGCAGGTCTTGCAGGGGGCCAGGTGATCTGGCCGCTCGCTCTTGCGGGGACCACGCGAAGGAACCTCGCGCGTGGCAGCGTCCCCGAGGTCTCGCGATCTCGAAGGGACACTTTCAGGAGTCTCACGCGGCGAAGGCGGCGTGGTCCTCCGAAGACCACCGGGGACCCCGCGAAGGCAGACGGCCGAGGCCGCGCGTGGCGGCGTCCCAGACGGCGTGGGGCGGGCCGCGGCTCGGTCCCGCACCCCTGCCCGGTGCCTCAGACGGCGGCGTCATCGGAGCCGCAGCTGAACAGGCAGGGGTAAAGCGTGGGTCAGTGGGCCGCCAGGGACTGGCCCGGGTGGAGTCCGTGGGGGCCCCCCTGAGGCTGCTGGGACTGCAAGGGAGGCGGCGGCGGAGACTGGAGCATGGGCGGCGAGTGGTGGTGCATGTCCCCCGGAGAGCCCCCGTGGCACATGAGCTGCAGGTCTGGCGTCGGGGGCCCGCCCGGTGCCCCAGCCTGCGGCTGGTTGATGGGCGGCGTCATCCGCTTCTCCTTCTGCCGCCGGTTGCAGAACCAGACGCGGACCACTTCCTTCTCCAGCTGCAGGCTGTCGGCCAGGGAGGCGATCTCCTGGGCGGACGGCTTGGGCTGCTTGTGGAAGTGCGACTCCAGGGCCCCCTTGACCGACACCTCGATGCTGGTGCGCTTCTTGCGCTTGCGGCCCTGCGCCGCGATCTTGTCGATGGACGTGGGCGAGCCCGTCGTCGAGTCGGCCTCTTCCAGCCACTTGGCCAACAGCGGCTTGAGCTTGCACATGTTCTTGAAGCTCAGCTGGAGTGCCTCGAACCTGCAGATGGTGGTCTGCGAGAAGACGTTGCCGTACAGCGTGCCCAGGGCCAGGCCCACGTCGGCCTGCGTGAAGCCCAGCTTGATGCGCCGCTGCTTGAACTGCTTCGCAAACTGTTCCAGATCGTCCGAACTAGGCGCCTCCTCCTCTCCGCTCTCGCTCGGGTGCCGGTGGTCCAGCGCCCGGGGGTCCTGGTGGCCCATGTGCGGGTGAGGGGGCACCTGGTCGGCGTGAGGGACCTCGCGCATCGCAGGGTGCGCCTGGGCAGCGCCGCCGTGGCCCAGCATGCCGTTCATGCCGCCGTACGGGTGGTGGTGGTGCTGCTGGTGCGGGTGCATGCCGCCCATGCCGGCCATGTGCGGTGACACGGCCCACGAGCCCATGTGCTGGGCGCGCGGGTGGCCGCCGAGCCCGTGGTGGTGTCCGAGCGCCGCCATGTCGGCCGTCTGCGGGGGCTTGATGTCGGCCATGGAGGGCGCCATGGCCGACGACCACATGGACGCCTCGGCGTGCGTGGGCAGAGACACCCACTGCGCCGCGTGGTGGTGGTGGTGCGAGAGCCCGTTGGGGCCCTGGTGCTGCGGCGGCATGTACTTCATCTCCGGCGGCTCGCGGCCGTAGCCCGACGGCTGCGAGCTGGCCACCTGCATCGGCTGGCTCGGCGGCAGGTGCACCGACGTCAGGCTGGACACTGCGCTCGTGCCGATGTAGGGGTTCGACGAGCCCGTTGCCATGCCGCCCTCCGCTCGGGCGCCGCGCACATCTGACTCCGACGGGAGATCGCTCCGCTGTGCGGGCGCGGCGCACGCCGCGCCGCCACGGCCGCCACTTCGTCATTGGGCCCCGCCGCGGGGGCAGGGACGCCAGCTGGCTCCGCCCTGAAGGGGAGGAGCCGCGCAAGCGCACTAGAGGAACTGGGTGGGACTTGTCGTCAGGCCGCTTTTCTTTCCCGGTCCGCGGCACGCGACGCTGGCGCCACAGCTCGAGCAAACAAAGCACCGGCGACGGAGAGCGCGCGCGCGAGCACACCGTTTCCGAACCGCAAGGCGCGACAATGTGCACGCGGTTTTTCGAACCCCAGTTTGGGCGCCACGGTATTCCTCGACGAGACGAGCTCCGACGGAAAGCCTCCTCTACATTTCGAATAAAGTGAGGACTCAAGTGTGTCGTTTCCTTTCACAAAAGCGTTCGTATTCGTCGAGATATACCGTATTTTACTATCGTCACTTATGATGTCCGTTTGTACCACAATATTGTCGGTGACAAGTTCGGAACCCAGTACATGCTCCGCCCACTTCACGCAGTCGTTGCCTCCCGCTGTGCTTTGGCTGTGCGTGCGACGAAGTGCGACGAAGGCAGAAAGCTCAAGCTGAAGGCAGAGCATCTACGCAGTTCGTAACCCGTCCCCGACTATCGTTTCCTCAGATACGTTTTACGTCACGTAACTTCAACTCTGACAAGTTCCGTCGTCGCTCTTTCCCAAACCAATACGTTGCACGCAATTGCTACAGCCCGGGACACGAGTTGACACTACGATGTCGATACTGCCTAATGTTTAACAAAGAGACGCCCTTTTCGGCTCCCGCTCAAGTCTGAGTTGTTTTCAAGAGCGAAATTATATCGACGCACCCCGCGACACAAAGCAAAACAGCGCCTATCCCCACACGTCGATCAGGCGTATAATATACACGTCGTCTCGGATGTTAATTGAATACCCGATAGCGAAAGGCATAATCGTTTTTGCTTAAGCCGGAGGTGGGGTGCATAGCGCGTATGGAGAGCAGATGCCGCGCATGTATATGAATGCAAACAGGTGTATGACATCTCCATTAAGTCGCAGGTCTGCAGAACTGCTCCTCATACCACGAGAGACCGCATCCAACTTTCTACACCTGACAAGAACGGCGCACCACTGGCTCTCCCAGATAGATGGATATATATATACGTTCGAGAAATGGGAGTATCTACAACTTTGGTATAATGAAGGTCTAGCGAATTCGCCGATGTTTTATTAATGTCTTTTTTTTTTTTTTCGTCCGACATGACCGCCGAAAGAGACCGTCGACAGCGGTGTACTTGACGCGTATTCCGATCAGTGCAAATAAGAGTCAGCACGTTATGGCGGCGGCTCGCCGTCGTGCCTTGTTCCGCCGCAGTCCTCCGCCTCGCGGCTTCGTCGCGAGGCGGCTGCGTCGCCGGGACGGTGGCGAAAAAAACATCAAAGAGGGGAATTCTCCGGGCGAACGCATCCTCTGAAGCTCGCGAGAAGAGTCGAGACGCGTGGCTGGGACTCTCTGCACTCTGAGAACCGAGGTTGTGCGCCGAGAGGCTCTCCAAAAGCACGCAGGTAAGGACTTGGTATTGCATTGATGTTTGTTCTTTCTGTAGAGAGAGCGAACTTCGTGAAGCGCGACGTGCATGCTTGTTTGTGTGCCGCTCGTGTGACGTGACTCGCCGCATACTACCGCCACAGAAATTGAGCGCCGAAAAATGACGAGGCGAAAATCATATCATGATGCGGCACAGACGGACGTGATCGGAGACGTTCCGCGCATCTTATATGGGGAGTGTGTGATCATAAACCCATGCATGTCTCGCTGAGAACGTAAGAAATGGAGCTCATTGTGGCAGGTACTGCGCAGTTTAGGCTCGTTCTGCACCTGGTGAAATCACGGCGTTGCTGCAGATAAGAATGCCGATCGAAGAACGAACGCACGAACCAAGAATCCTCGAGATATCTAAGCACACTCCATTTTCTTTAAGCTGCCGGCGAACATATAATAGACTGTCCCGGCCGTCTTATGAGAAAGGCTTATGCCGTAGCAGAAGGCCCATTTCAAGCTTTGTATCGCGGTGTCGTGTGAGGTGTACACTTTTCTTCGCACCACGCCGCTATCACAGTTTGCGTGCGTTATTTTGTAACGTTATTGAAACTCTTGTGTCTATTATGACGAGTTCACGGAAGAGGACCATATTGAGCACGATATATCTTAGACGTTCCAGAGATATACTTTGCAAAACTGAGAAGGCTTAAGAGCAGCAGTGGCGCTGCTCGTATACATTGTATACAAAAAAAAAGCATGGTGTTCGCGGAGGACATGATGACATTAACGCGGCAAGCATGGTCGAGCTTCGTACATGCTTTCTAAAATGTCTCCAGATGTCTTTTTGTGCGATGTGCATTAGCAGGGTGACTTTAAGCAGAAATGACGCAAAAATATGCATACTAAAAGTTTCGAACAAATATTAATGATAACCGAAATCGTAGCTTTTCAAACGAGAGGGCGTAACCCCAGAAACTCCAGTTGGTCGTCTACACCCGACGCGTCATCGTTTATATATTTGTGTGTGTGTGTGTGTGCACGTCGGAGGCACTGCGTTCAAACAATGTCTGCGTTTCCACGGAACCAAGAGAGAAAAAAGAAAAGCGATGTAATCCAATGCTTAAATGACAAAAAAACTAAAGAAAGGAAAAGTCACACTAAGTTGGCATCCTCGTCTGTCATACTTTCCCAGCCGGTAAATAATTTTTGGCCCTCCTTACGAATTGCGTTGTCGGTTCTTCATATACAAACACATCGCTTTCTCTGTATACAAAAGAAGAAAAAAAAAACACTTTCCAAAGCTATCATAGAACGGGCTCGTTTATCCTAGACCGTTATTGATATTCTAGAGGAATCCCAACCCCGTATATCCACCTATATATAAACATATCGTATATATATATATACAGGAGCGGATCTCTCACGCTATACAGGTACGAAGTATATCAGATGCATGTATGCAAGATGCTAATGAAATAAAGAGTGCCGGCGCACAATCCACCAAACGCGAGGTACACACACATAGTACGCATATGAAGCGCGTCGCGGTATTTGCACGCAAACTCTCAAGGCACGAAAAAACAATCTTTTGCGTCGTTCGCGCAGACCGAGTGTGCTACAGGCTGTGTATCACTTCGTATTGAGAATGGGCGACAGCCAAACTGTTTTCTGGCGTGACTGTCGCGCTCCCGTTTTTTGCCAATACATCGAGGATGCGTATAGATCGTTCGTCCATGCCTGTCTAGAAGTGAAAGTTTGCGGCTTCGTGTGCATATACTTGTTTTGTGTATGGAGCGTTTCGAGATTCTTTCCTTTTCTTGTGCCGTTGAAACGCGCTATATAGGATAAGGTGGAGGCCTCGTGCGTATTATTGAATAGACCGAGAGTAAACTTTGGACCATTAAAAACGTGTGTACAGATAAAAAGTTGGACGGATAAACGAGTGAAATATACGGTATTGATTGAATAAAACGAATATGTATACGGGTGACAATGAGACAATAATGAAAAAAGGGGTAGAAACATTTACATTTATAAGTCCTAGTTCGATAAATTACAAGGTCGTAAACGAAGTGCATATATTGAACAAACTGGATGAAAAATCATAAAACATATTAGCACCGAGATGTTTAGGTGGCGCCCTCTTACGGTCTCCGTTCGTGACGTCAGGACCACGATGTCGCGTCACGTGATTGGCAAGATTTGCGAGCTCGCCGTGAACCGGCAATTGGGGGTATACAGGAAACTATGCATTGTAGTAAATACCTATGGTAAATACGCGATGGGTCAAACCTACGCTATGGTTTGACCCATCGCGAATGTCGACCCCAGCGACACTTTTGGTCGCGCACGTCGCTTATTAATTGTCACGTACAGCTTAAGACACACGAGGGGTGGCCCATACATCAAAGCTGGTCCCGAAGTGGCAACAAATGATGTCACAGAATTCGGAGTGTCTCGTGCTGTCGGATGTCATGATCCTGGCGGTTGGTCGTATAGAAATGCCGACGAAAAGCACGAGCGAACGTGAGATGTCGCTGTCGTCGCAGCGTCCCAACTTCTGGCTGCCGAAGCTTCTGTGGGCTGTCACACCAGAGAGCGACCTGCAGCAGAACAGGCGTCTGCTACATCAACCGCCGCTGCTGGGACACCGCCAGGATCGCGACAGGAGACAACGCGACACTTTTCATGACGTCGCGAGGCAAAAATTAAAAACCCACTTTCTGATTTTTTTTTAATTATTTTTTTTTTTTTTTTTTTTTCTGAACGTGGTAAACACATTAGTTGCAGTTTTGCCAAATTTGCGGTTTTTCCGCCAAATGTAGCGGTTTTCTGGGTTGTCCAGCGGGAGGGATTGCCGTTTTGCGACTGCAGGATTTTTTTCAATTTCTTTTAGCGGTTTTCGAATCCCGTTACCCTGTTTTCTGACCGGGTCCAAAACGTTCGAGAGTCCTCCCGTCGTTATTTTTGCTTACTCTCAAGAAATTGTTGTCAGCGAGAGTTACGCTGGCAACTCCATTGAGATATTACGGACGGGAGTGGAACAGACATTGAAACGCGGTGTTAAAACGATCGCGCCTTATTTAGCGATTTTTATACATATTTTTTCGTGATTTCTTTAGCGGGCACGTTTAATGTTTCAGTTTGAAACACCGCTTCATTGTTTCCGCACATGAACGATGCTCGTGCATGTCTATCACACAACGCGTAAGTTCAAAAAGCTCGAGTGACTCCAGGGGTGGCCGATTAAAGGATCACGCTTCTCGCTTTATCATTCGTTCATCGGTGTTTCTGGAGCCGCAATTCGGTTGACTGTGGAACATTAACCGAGATATTCCTGAGAACTGGCCATGGTCTACGTTTCTTAAGCTGTCGGTGGCTGGAGTCGGGAACAATAGCGACTTACGCGA